AACATCCTCATTTGTGATAAGAATGTTAGCAGGTTTGAGGTCACGATGCACAATTCGATGTCGGTGGCAAAAAAATAGGCCATCGAGAAGTTGATAGATAAGTTTCTTTAACATAATCCCGGTAAAAGTTCCACTCCTCTTTTCAAGTGCCTTTCTGAGATCATAATCAACATACTCGAAAATCAAATAGAGCTTACCATCAGTGCAGATAACATCGAGCAAATTGACAACATTTGGATGATGAATTTCCTGCAAAATAGAAACCTCTCGCAGAGCTGTCTGGGGGATTCCTTCCTCTGTACGATCCAATCGCACTTTCTTTAGAGCGACAATTTGTCCTGTGGCTTTGTCGACCGCGCGATACACAACACCATATGTCCCTTCTCCAAGAATATCCATGCGATTGTATCTTTCAAACTGCTCTCGAGAAGTTGAAGAAAGAGGACGACCTGTTAATGTGCCGAGAGAAGTCATTTTTTCCCTTTAATTTTTTTCCCCCTGACTAGAAGAGCAAACAAGAATAGGAAAACGGGAAATGTTTCCATGAAGGATGGTATTAGAATACCAATTAGTAGCGCAAAAAAAATATGTATATATAATAACTTCAAAACAAAACGCTACAACCAGAAGCATTATAGTTCATTCTTTCTAGCGACAAATATGCACCAAACAGGGTAAATACTCGCTCACATCGGGCAAAAAAAAAACATTCCCGCCTCACCAGGTACCTCGTATTGTTATTTTTTTTTGTATCACATATTAAGAAGCCTTTCAATAGCAAACTCAATACTGCCTTGCGCCTGCTCCAAGGCAGCAAGATTAGCCTGCTCATTTGGAAATCCCATATCTCTCAGCTGTTGAAGCTGGGATTGGTATAGCTCTCGAGTGTTTCGTCGTGGCTGAGAAAAACCTGCATTTTGCATAGGATTCGTAGGCTGTGTATTCTGTTGCCCAAAAGAAGAGGCGTTCATGGCTGGAAAACCAGCACCAAGCGATTGAGCCATTTGCTGCATCACAGCTGGATCACGCATCATTTGGAGCGCAAGCTGCATAAATGCGGGGTTACTTAAAAGTTGTTGCATACCTTCAGGATAACCAAAAGGGCTTTGTGATTGTGTTCGCTGCATCTCTTGTAAAAACTGAGGATCTCTCGACAGTCCTTCCATGTATTGCATAAATGCTGGGTTCTGCATCATAGCTGATAGGTGATCGGGGGAAAACGGCAGCCCTGCATTAGCATTTCCAAGGTTATTGGTGGGAAACCCCCCAGTTGCAGGCGGATTCGCTGCTAAAGCTGCGTAGGGATTGACAGCCTCCTGTCTCACTTGCGAAACCGTATTTGATTGAATATCCGGCACACTTGTTGATTGTTGTGTAGATGAGGGAGCTACATGTGACGTTGTGCTCTTTTGACCACGGACAATATGTACGGCCTGTCCATGTTCCATGCCCATGTTAGATAGAATATCCTCGTCTTTTAAGACTCTGCCACGCAGTACAACTCGTTGTTCATCGGCAGGGATACTTGTGACGGTCGACGCGATTTCCTTAAACCTTGAAACGCTTATATTCAAGTCGGGCACCTCAACCGTTTTTTGGGTACCGTTTGTCAACTTTATCGTGACACTCATTGGGGCAGCAACTGATATTTTTTATTTACCAAAAAAAAACAACAACAACTAAAAATACCAAAGAAAGAAACAAAAAAAACGGCAGCAAGAACAAAAAATATGATTTCATAGACCACAATTTTGCTTGAAAAATATATTACAATAATCATAAAAAAAAGCTGTTTTAAGGGTTAGATCCAAGAAAGCATATAAACATAAGGGACTTTTTCATAAAATATATATATATATATCAGTATAGCGAAAGCCCATACCCCTATAAAGTAAAAAAAAAGGAAATACTACATTGGGAGTTCGGTCTTCTCCCCAATCATTGAATCTCCTTCAGTATTGTATTAT